TTATTGTGCAATACACAGCTTATCTTAGGTAAAACTTCACAAAACATGGCAAGAAGAACTATCTAACAAGATAGATCAACATCTGTCTGTCTGCCTCTCGCACAGGCTGCAAACTGCAACCGTTTTAGTTTCTAAAAGAAAATTGCGTATTCCTCTCGCAACATAACAGAAAGCTGAAAACCACAAAAACTTGTGCGCAGGAGACGGATGTTTTTGTTTATGAGAGCTAATTGCAGCCTCTGTAACAAAAAAGCAAGCTGGAAGCACAGAGTGCAGCCTGTTGACCCTGTATAGCTGAGGTTGGGATTTACGTAATCTCTCACAAAGTTTCCCCCAACTGTAGAAATGTGAGAGGAGGGCCTTAAATGATCCTGTAATGTTGTGGTTAACTTTAGACTTCATGCAATATGTGCATGGGTCATTGCCACATTCTTTCCCCTTTTTCTCTTTCTTTCGGTTCTGCTAAATGAAAACATGTGCATCTTTTTTTATTTCCCAAATGAGAAAATGAATACATTTAGCAAGAAATGCAGATGTTTCTCTTGTCAGTTAAAACTGAACTGATGTAAAGTGTGGGGAAAAAACTGAAGTTTCAAAAAAAGGTCAAAACTTAAAGAGATGATCCCTGAAACTAGAATCTTGGTTTGTGCTGTGAAGTTTGTAAGTCATAGGACCACAGCAGATACAGTTTGAGTAAATACAGGAATTTAAACTGTATGTTCAAAAACTGTACGTGAGTGAAGAGATCATTATAACAGGTTTAACTGTACTACCAAAAAATCTAGTAGTAAAGATACCGTGGTTATTTTTCCATTAATATCCATATTGGAGTGCCTTTTTTGCTATGACATGCAGTATGATTTTTTTTGCCCCTTTTTTGTCAGAACCTCACTGTTACAGCGCAAAGGTCTACGTGATGTGATCCTGAAAATATCCAATAAAAATAACAAACTATTGCACAATTATAAACAACTCACACATCTGCAGTTTGGAAAGGAAAACACTGTTGAAGTGATTATTCCCAAGTTTAAATATTTTTTTGATGGATTTATATGGTGTTGGCATCTGTGGATTGGCAAGGCTTTAGTTTTACCCCGAAAAGGGAGGGAGTATGTAGCTATGGACAGTTTGACTCTCTGTTGGTTTGCAGTCTAGGGTCCACATTTTTCAAGATATCTGTGTGAATTCTGTGTGATGATAGATATCAATGGCAGCTCGAGCTGATTTAATTTTTGTTAAAATTGGGTCAAGGGTACAACAAAAGTTGAAAATCAGTAAAAACTTTGCATTACCCAGAACTTCACAACAGTAAACTAGACCTTGAGAGGTTTGCTAAGCAAGTAGCTATCTTCGTAAAATCCGGGAAACTATTCTCACATTGTTAGTGACATGTAGAACAGAGCTAGGGGTGGCTGTGGCTCAGGTGGTAGAGCAGATCAGCGACTGATCGGTGGTTCGATCCTTGGCTTCCCCAGTCTGCATGTCAAGTATCCTTGGGCAAGATACTAACCCCAAATTGCCCTCTGATGCGTTCATGTGTGAATGCAGGTTAGTTTGCACTTGTGTATACGAGTGGGTGTGAATAATGTATAGAGCGCTTTGAGTACTCTGGGAGAGTAGAAAAGCGCTATATAAGAATCATTCCATTTACCGGAACTTGTCGTTAATAGTATGAGGGAGGTTGTCTGATGTCATCTTTATGGGGGAAGAAGTTAAGACTCTCACTGCAGTATTAGCCAGATAGTTTTAAAGCATGTAGAAAAAGCAAAAGCCAGCGCAGCCTGCAGAAAATATCTGTTGGAGCTTTGAATTCTTCAAATTCTAAAGAATTTAATAAATGTCTTATATTTTGCAGAGTCAAAAAGTTACATTGTTTCTCATGGACTTAAGTATTTAGATGACCCCCGTGGCTCAGAAAGTCACAGTTAATACCCTCAACTACTCAACAGCCTACAAAAAATACTTGGTGTTTGTATTTGGTGGGGGGGTTCAGGTAAACTGGGCTTTCAATGGAATTAATATAAATTGGTTAACTAATGAATTAAAATAAATATAAATAGTATTAATAAATATGGAATTAATAAGCATTTTGATGTTGTTCTCCACTTGCAGTAAGAAGCACCTGGTTGCTGTTCTGTACTTCAGGGGGCTCATTAGGGGCCACGAACACCAGCTGATCCTCCGGCGACTCACAGCACTGAAGAGGGACGTGAACATTGGCAGCAGTGACAGAAACCAAGTGTTATTTAGTAATATGCAGGTTACGGTCAACACAAACTGCCTGTCCAACTTCCCTTACTCCTGCTTCAGCTTTCTGATGCCAGACAACTAGGAAAACACTGCAGGTGTAACAC